TATACATGTATGTGATGCCCAATAAGAAAGGCTTGTTACCTCCAGGAATTATCATAACTGAGTGATAGAGTGCTCATCAAGACATGGTTTAGTTTAAGGATTTCCAAATCTGAATTTTTCCCTATCTTAGAGCTACATGTACACCCAATCTTTTAGCCTTACAGGGAGCAGCAAACCTTTTATTCTCAGAAACCACATTCGATTAACATCTAACCCTTGAACCCCTGCCCTTATCCACTGTGACTACAACCATCCTCTAAATAGCAAAGAAGAGAGCAGTGAGTGGGAACCTTTTCAGCTGGATGGTATGCAAGCATATCACAACAGAGATTGGCTGCATGTGCTCAGCATGGCTCAAACCAAATGGCATGCACCTCTGCGCGCAAGCAGGGAGTTCCAACCAAAGGGATGCTATTGCCACCATCTCTTGTCCCTCTGCAGAATAGGAAGGGGAAACATTTCAATCAAGTTATCTCACCTCCCATGTTGACTAGCGCTGCTCTTTGGCAGTTGGGTGCCCATCCTTTCCAGAGCCCAGGAATCCCTCCTGCCCTCAGAATGTTGGAGAATGCATGAAATGCACTCTTCACTCTGCAACACAAAATATCACCCTTTTATTTATTATTACATTTCTAGCGATAAAACCAAGAATTCTTTTAAGACAGCATGGTAAATCACATCCCAGCAGCACCATGTAACACCAGAAAATGGAGAAAATGTTCATTTTAAGACACGGATATCATGGGCTTAATGATCAGAGGCAAACACATGTACACTGTGCCCTCGTACGCGTACATTCTAGTGTCAACATTAAAGCCTGCAAGACTAACATCATTTGAGTAATATTCCTCACAGTGTGGGCAATAATGAGCCCGGTAATGTGGGGGTATAAAGGGGGTGGAGATGGGGGGAGGGAGAATAGATTATTTCCAGGAGTATTTTTTAGCCTGTGTACCTTGGTGGTTTCCCCTCCAGAACCCTTCGCCCTTCCATCTGCATCTGAACTTTGACCAGATCAGTGGGGCTTGCAATGAACTGACCGATGACCCCAGCAATCATTCCTGTCAAGGCTGCTTTCCTGTAGGGTTTAAAAATAGAAACATGGAAATGAATTCTTGCACTGAGGAAACTATGTGCATATGTGGCCTGAGACCCAGGAGGCTTATGGTATAATTTCATAAACCCTACTGAAAAAAAGCTACAAAATAAACAGTACTGTGCGTGACGAGCTCAACAAGACACTGTTCTTACAGCAAGCCAATCCTGCAGACACGCAGGTTCACAATCCCAGTTAAGGCAGAACACAAAGAATGAGTGTACGGTCCTTGATCCAACTGCATGGTAAAGTAATCAATATAACAGGAAGAAATATAACCAAATCAAGTAACTCACCAGACAGCAAAGTTCCCATCTGCGTTTCTGTGGAGAATGTTTTCCCTGATGTATTCATAGGCACCCATTCTACATCCTGTATACACTGTTACAGAAAAGAAAGTCAGTTTATGTAGACATCGTCTGATGGAAAAAAGACACCAGAATGATTGGTTCATTGATTAGTTTTGAGAACTATTTATTTGTAGATCCATTTGACTGAGCAAGTTCTGCCCATCTGCCGGATGTTATTTTCTAATTCAACTGTTTATAAAATTGTTTGAAGTTTCTTGCCTATCTATGTCTTTCTTGCTCTATTCATACATTCATTACTCTATTTGGTGGCATCTTTCCTCTTTCTGTTTGTTCCACTGGATGTCTGTTTCTTTGTTTGAATTAGTAAACCGTTCTGAGCTTTGTGTACGTTATATGATGTAAGTGCGTTTTCAAATTTAAGTCTGGTTCTATTGCCCCAAACTGTACATCATCAAATTTACAAACTCTTGGGACTGTTACCAGCAGATATAAAAGTCAATTTTCATGGGTACCCTCAAATGCATTTCTGAAATTCCACAGCGCATTTGTTTCCTGTACGGTGCTGGTATGTTTTGTGCATTAAGCTCCATTTGGCCAATAACAAAACCTGCAGGATCAGCAGAATCAAATGTCAACATCAAAGGCTGAAACTATCGGTACGAAGGCGATATTGATCAGTGTACAGCTCAGATTGATAAAAGAGACATAATCCAGAATGCAATTTTTTTTTGTGCAGGGTATATATGTACCTGGACTTTTGAACGCCTCGACTTTTTGGGGTGATGGGGGGGGTTCGGTTTGGATTCATACATGCAGTAGCAGAGTTTATATTCTCTTTGTTTTCTTAGTCATAGGAAAGTTGCTGACCTATGGTTCATAACACTGTCATGCCAGACATGCATTATTTGGGAATGTAACAATTCTTGTCAGTATTCTCTATCCAGATCGCCAACATTAGGATGACAACGATTCTGTTGTTATGTGTGGGCCATTGCATACACAAAATCATGCACTTGTCCACATTTGTATGTATTCAAAATGCATTCTTTCAATTTGAATCAGCACAATTAGAAATCAAAGTCTTGAGGTGTGGCTGTTTGTAGGCGACAAACTGGAGATCCACTTTAAGTTAAACCCACTAGCCTACCCACTGAGTGGTTCTTACCAATGTGCCTATATATTGCTGGTGTTACTCCTTGCCACAGCTTCAAGAGTCCTTCCTCTTGAACTGAAACCAAACAGCACCATATTGCTGAGTAAACACTTTGTTTTCCAGATTCTATATAGTCAAACATCAAGGTTCATGTACCGGTACATTTATCTCAAAACACAATATTTGTGTCTTATTCATTTTCTTATTCTATTTTGAGAACTAAAATAATAACTAATAAAAGTACAACTCATATCATCAAATTAACAATATCAATTAAAAGGTACAAGAGATGGCTGTCAACGGGGGAAGGGGGGAAAGGATATCACAATAGACTACAAGGGTATTAGTGAAACATTATCAGGTCAAAGTTTAAAGAGATTTACACTGATCAAAAGAATCAGTGTTCCTATTTCAATCTTTGCAGACTAGCGGTTAAAGCCAGATCTACATGTACATGTATGTGTGTCTTGATCCCTACACTTCTGAGGAAATGATGCAATGACGTCACAGAAACACTTCACTTGTGCACCTGAATGCCAAAACAGGGAAGGGGTTTACCAGGATTCCATGATAACTGGGTAGTACCTAAGAGTACAGTCCCCTAATTCAAGCCCCGTTGAAAACGGTGTAAAATCAGCACTGTTCAGGGCCCAGTAACATGCACGCCTACATCCCTGAGATTTCTGAAACACAGATGAAATTCTTGTCTGGTCACTTATCTTTCAATTTCTTTTCATTTTTTTGTGGGTTAACCAATTTCATTTTAATTATTCCCATAAAACAAAATCACCCCCCCAAAAAGTGATTTTTCCGAAGTCTGATTGCAGCCATTTTTCACGTGGCAAAACTCAATTTTCTCGGGCACTTAGGACCATTTTTCAACCATAGTTTTTAGCCATTCTGCTCTCATATGAAAGCTCAAAGACCCAGGGAGTTGATCCCAGCAATGATTTACACAATCTCACCAGCTTGGGAGCCAAACAATCTCCTTTTTCAAAAGACACTGTGGGGGCACTTTTAATGTTAATGAGCTGGCCAGAAATTCTCACTTGAATTAGTGGTCTACACCCCTACATGTAAAGCTGCTTACCAACACCAATGGCTGTCCTGACCATTCCTCTGTAGGGCACAGCTTCAGCTGTGGCCCCATAATGTCTTGCTGCTGCATGCTCTCCTTGCAGTTGTAATCTAGTCTTGGTTAGATCTAACGGGTAGGTTACTGAAACAACAACAGCAATTTACATTTCACTTATGCAAAGCAAAATTCACAAATACACTCATTAATAAATGATAAATGCTTCAAAATTTCATTGAGCCCATCCTGTGATTCAAGGTCAACTAGGCAGAATTTATCAACACCTACAGGATTTGGGCACTATACACTAGCTGACTAAACCTATTACATCTGTTCAAAACTTGACACCAACCTGCTCTACTTTCTACATGGGGCTTAGGATTTTGCAAGTAATGTACATGTACCATTCGCCTGCTGCAGAGTGTTTGAATGTTGACTGCATCAGGGATGTTTCCCAGAGCAGGTCTAGGAACCAATAAATGTGGTTTGCAACCATGAAATTTCTCATTCGAAACATCTCAACAGTTCTTTTCCCAACTCTTGGTGATGAAGAGATACATGGATTTTACAACAACACTTTCATTTCATCAAATTTACAAACTGTACTTCATCCTCTCTTCCCAAAATTTTAATGGATACACTTTGGAAACCCAATATTAAAACTGTCCCACTCAGAAACTTGGATATCCTTGTTTCATGGCCAAATTGGACATTTGACAAGTGCTTTTTGACAAAAGCTGTTTCTTAGGTACGGACATTAGGTTGGTTTTTTTTTTTTTTGCATATAAAATGCAATAAACCGTTCTGAACGTGTATTTGGTTCAGCTGCATGTCTGGTGCAAATCTTTAAATTCACTACATAATCAGAGCTGGGTAATCAACAGAAGTACATGTATTTGCTGAAGAGTTGAACCTGATATACCTTGGACTTGTCCAAAGGTCAAGATGTATAATGATACTGACCACTGACAAGGGATAAAGTGGAAAAACAATAAACAGGGAACAGGTCAACTGGTAACTTAGTGAAAAAACAATAAACAGGGAACAGGTCAACTGGTAACTTGGAGAACTAGTACCATGGACAACTCGTACCATCAACTCAACATAAATTGTACCAACTCGTACCGTTGCCAAGTTGCACCTTTGACAACTTGTACCACCAGTAAAGACAACTCGTACTTTCACATACGAGGTACAAGACAACTCGTACCTTCACATAAATTAGAGCTTGCTCATAGCTCATTGGTATTACAATCAAAATCAACTTAAACAATAATTTGGTTTCTTAATCATGGTTCATTAGCCGTTTTGGCTGCACAGCCTTCCACACATGTACATGCTGGTATGGTGACATTAATGTGAGACATGTCAACGTCAGTGCATGTGCGCACACCGTCGGGCACCTGACGCTGGTCAACGTGGCCAGCCGTCATTGCATGCTATCCAGAATTTTCACCATTGTGCTGAATAGCAGTGTGCCTAATTTTTCGACATTCTGTATCAGTAGACCTATTGTAAAATATTTTGACCTGGACTTTGTATTGTCCCTTAATGCCATTGGTCAATTTAGAGCAGCTTGATCTATTCTTCTACGATTTATTCTTTGCAGTCCACTGTGATGATGGAGTGATGTCATATTTTCATTTACTTCAAAGTTTATAAAGTAATGTCAATTGTAACTTGTTCCCCCAAAAAAGAATTTTAATAAGGAAGGCAACCGACCCCCTCAAAAAAATTTTAGGGGAACAGAAACATTTCCAAAATAGATCAAGACATAACAAGTTTCCTAAGGACACCCCCCCCCAAAAAAAGTTACTAAGCAAAACCATCCGTCCCCACAAAGTGAAAAAGTCTAATAATGTTTTCCAAGAGCCATACGAATAAATTGAAGTGCCCCCCAAAAAAAGAAAATTTAGTAAAGTCCTCCCCACAGAAAAAAGAATGTTAATAAGGTAGACAACCAATCCCCAAAACTAACAAAATGTGGTTAACAAGAAGACCTATAGCAAATAAATGAGTAAATAAATACAGTGCAAGTTAAATATTCCCAAGGGACAACTAGAATCCAGGACCTCACTCTGGCCTTACTCAAAAGACCTGTTTTTCTGAAACTGATTTCTTTAGTCTAGAGTTATGAATGAAAAATACATAGCAAATCAATGTCAACTTGTGCAGATATGAAATTTTCATCAACAAAAATTAACAGTACTAAATGCATACCTGTCGCTCATTCACTTTCTTCTTAGGTTCTTACGTGTCTCAGTTAAGTACTGACATGACAGAATAGAATGCAAAATAAGAAACAGCACAACCAACAACTTTCTTTCTTTTTAAAATGTTTAAAAATGATCGAATGAGCCTCAAGGCTAGACTATACTTAGTCCAAGTAACTTGGACTCACCTTTTTAAGCATTCTGACATTGTCGGGCGACCCATGTAAGCCCAAGTTACTCGGAACATGGAGCTATGCTCGGAACATGGATGGAGGAAGGAAAATTCTGACTAGATTTAACTTTTTTTTTTAGTTTTAAAAATCAACGCAGATAGCTACTGAACTTCACTAAACTTACCTGATTCTGCCACTGTAGCCGCACAGGCTGACAGGAAGTATTTAAAAGCAAAGCTGTTTGGGTCCACCTTTTGCAGGAACGAGTAACCTGAACGATCTAAGCGTGGTACGACCACCGCAGCAGACCCGCCGTCGCTGGGGCTTACAACCCCGCCCACACCTTCCACGCACTCTCCACTCATCCTGAGCCAGAATGTCGCCCGACTCCAATCCTTCGTGTCGTAAATTCCTCATCTAACATTAATCCTTCTGTTGCACAGTACTGCCTCCATTAATATAGATACTTTATAAATTTCCTCTTTAGTTTGTTACAGTGGTGACAAATGTAAAAGGATTACAGCGAAACTTCAAGATTCTACATGTGTACGTGTAATCAACTTACATGTACATGTACATGGTACGAACCAATCTGAGGCATGAGGCTGCAGAAAAACAAACACGAGTACATTAATAGTCAGATGCTGTTGCAAGTTTTCACAGAGAACGTGAAATACGTCAAGGTTACACACATACGGTCTGCGCGCCCTCAACGGCTGAAACGTGATCAATAAAAACAACGCCAGCTTTGACTGCAAAAATGGCGCAAGCGGGTACTGCGAATTCGGAATCCAAAGTGAGACTTATTCTTCGGAGTTTTGTTTGAGCTGCCAATATTAAGTGTTTAAGATGTTGTTAAAGCAGTTAGTTTAGTATGTCAGACGCCAGCATTTCCAACTGGAGGAAAGAGTGCCATACACGGATAACATCACACCCCTTCACATCGCACAAACGCAATGAGATCGGTCTGAAAAAAAATCGAACATGGCCTGGTTGAAACATTTTCCAAGTAGGCCTGAACGATTCGACATTTTCTCTCCTAAATGTAACTCTTAAAAACTGTTATCGCTTACTGATGGCTGATACATCACTCTAGAGAAAAAGACATGAAAGAAGTATTTGAAACTCATCCCAAACAGACCTAACGTTCTTTTTTATCTATGTGAAATTGTATCATACTTCTTATCAATGGAATTGTTATGCCCCTAACTGCTGTATCACTCCGAACTACAGTTGGACCGTCCCAACTAAAGTGCTATAGTTGAGCTAGCCCAGCTACAGCACAGAGGTCCAGTGTAAGCAAGTGGGCGCCAACATCACTTTGTTTACATCAACTTGTGCCTGTAGAAACAAGTTTTTACGATTTAATAGATGAAGTGCCTTATTTTAATTGAGTTATGTCAGGTGTGAAATGCATAAAGTTGGAGAAGGTTGAGAAATTTTCTACAGAGACTGGCCAACAATAGTTGGGGCAGCCCAGCTTCAGCTCAACAGAATTATACTATTGGTCAATCGTGGTTTGCCTTGTATGCAGTCTTTCACGTGGATTAACAACTCGGAACTAATGTTTTTTTCTTGTTATAATGTGCAGGATGAAGAGATTGCGTCATTGGAACAGTCACTCCATGAATGGCGTTACATCTTGCTTCATGTAGATCGATGGCTTCGATGGGAAGACCAGAATCAGCCCGTCATCATGGCAGCTGCTGTCACTGCCTTTTTCCTGTCAGTCTTTCTCCTCCCTGGTCTTTGATTACATCAGAGTGCAGGCGTAGTCGGGAAAGATTCCAAACTTCTAATTCATTACACTAACTGACCACTAAGTTTGGCAACTCGGTGAAAGGCTATGCAAAAGAGGAAATATCAAAAGAGCATATGTCTACTCCAAGTTGTTTTGCACTGTGTGTAGTTTCATGTCAGACCAGTGCTGAGAGATGAGAAATGTGAGAATTGTAAGAAATGATCTTGAGGACTGAATATTAATCACAAAAAATGGTTCTTCCTGGAAGTTTCTACTTTCGTGTAGACTTTTCTTCACCTCTTTAATTACATAAATGTAGATGAGTTGCATCAGCAAAGTTACAGAACCATGTTACTTCAATATGCCAAAATAAACCCAGCACTAAAAACGCATAATACAATTTCGAACAGAATGAGGTAGAAATTAAATGGTTGCTGAATTTGGTCCAGTCTGAGGGACCATCTTGTCAAAAAGTAAAATTTATTAAGTTAGACAAATTGTTAGAGAACGTTGCCAACTTTTGTCAGCTAGTATGTGATGGGGAATAACATCTACGTGTATGATATTTTGCCCACATTTGCAGTATTTGAAGTATCAATCAACTGTGTTGAATTGGGTCTTTATGTGAACATAGGTTGGTTCCAGTACATGCCACACTCTTGCTGCATTAGAATGACCCTTCAGTTTTCAAGCTTGTAACTGGAAGCTACTTGTTTATGGTCTCTCATCATCAGGATGCTCTGTACTGACAACCATCTCATTGCTCGTCATGGTCGTCTGTTTAGCTATCTTGGACCCACCGTTTTCCATTCTTACATCTGTCCACCTGCAGAATGGTCAGTGTCATTCAGTCACTTCTTCACTGCAACAGGCCAGATGCAGTGGTTTGTCTGTATGGTTGGTTTTACATTAATTAAAGAGATTCTGCGCACACAGAGTTTCCCTATTCAAGCAGGATGTAATCGTTTTTTTCATTGTACCTAATATTGTACATGTACATGAGTTTATGATGTTGGGATCGATTTAAAGTGGTTACAACAATTCAAGTTATGGTAATTAGCATATATTTTCTGTAACTGCCATTTCAAAGTTGTTTATTTTGTTGTTGAAAGTGGATGAGCCTATATAACCCCAATACCTCTATTTGTATGAATTGTAGGACAGCTGAGCATCAGCGACAGTACCAGCAGGTGTGCATGAGCCTCATCAGAACCAAGGATGCATTGATGCATAGTTACCAGTGCCTGAAAACGATGAAAGAAGAAAAACCAAAACAGGTAGGACTGACTTGTTCATCAGTTGTTATTGCTGTAATATACAGTGTAGTTGAGCTGTTTAAGAGATGTGTGAACTTGCGACCTTTCATGTCAGCATCCCTGTTAGTTCGTCTTAACAGTTCTTGATCTTCAAATGGGAGGATTGAGGTCTGCTAGAGATGACCTCTCATACATTTTCCTAGATCCAGCTGATTATAATGCCACTGAGTGTGATTAGTTCCACCTTTGTAGGTATCCATAATACTCCCCTTATTGGAAAAGCCATCGGAGTAAATTGCCTTGCTCAAGGACATAAGCGCTTTGGTTTCAGAAAGACACAACTCCTTCATATGAAAGTATATGGTAATGGAAGAAACCATTACCGTATCAATGCCTCCATCAACGGCTGTTCAAGATGTCTTTTCTACCAGAAACCTTCAGTATGTTGTTTTTGCTTTGTTGACAGTACTTCATTCTGGTCATTGCTGTGCTGGCAGTCATTGCTTTCATTGGTAACCTCATCCCTAATATCTGCTTGGTATACTTCTTAGGTAAGTCACTTCTTTTCAAATGACTGCTCCATTTAATATGTATGCAGATGATTAGACAAATGATTAAAATTTAAGAATTATTTCATTTTTAACTGGTACATTATTTACATTATATTTTATGAACATTTTTTTCTTTGTGAAATTGCCTAGCTTACAGTTTAGATTTGGTTCAATTCATTTTTGTATGAGGCAGGTCCATGGTATAGCTCAAGAAAACTTTCATTTTTATCTCTAATTTATTATTTTTTAAATTAATAATTTGAAGTTTATTTACAGTTTATTTATTATTGCAATATTCAAACAAGGAATTATGCTATTTGCTTTTATTTTCTTCATGATCACTATACTCAAGCCCGTGAATTACTTAGTTCAGATGAGATAATTTTACCACGTTAAGAATGACTGATATTTCTTATGGCACTTTTTCCAGCCGTGTTCCTTGTACTTCTGCCTGGCCTGCACCAACGGGGATTGCTAGCTCAGGCCTACGCCGCCTCCCTGCAGGTGGTCGTCAACCTACTCAAGCAGACCAAGAAGAAGGATTAGGCTGACAGAGAACTTGGATTGGTTATCTCATTTCCTGGTCCTTCACATCAGTGCGACGGGGGAGGGAGATATTGGTAAAATTGACTGTTGAACAGACAGAATGTGACCTGTAGTTTGGAGACTGTTACCATTCATACATAAAGATATACCCACCGTTAGTTCTTATGTTCTAGTTCTAAGGAGTAAAAATACATATGCCAGATATTAATTCGGTCCCTCAAATGTGCCATGCAATTAGTAAGTGGGTACATTATTCTGAGTATTTTCTCATGTTTTGGGAATCCGTAGCTTTTTTCAAACGGAAGTTTCCATCCCCTCATAAAATGGCCACCTTATCTATCAATACATATCTGTAGACAAGGCCCCTTCCCATCATAGCAATAATGGACGCATTTTCAATATACGTCTCGTCATTTTAGACTTTTCCCTATATGCCTCTTGCATCATTAAAC